TCATGTTATCAACCCTTAAACATTAGTAAAATCACCAAATATGCACCACTTTTCCCAAAGGGTGAAAATTTAATTTACTTCAGTCACATGATAAGCAATGATTTCTGCCTTCTCAATGCAGTTATCCTGTCAACTTTTGTTTATCAGCTTAGAAAACAAACTTCCTACACAGGGCTGTTAAGAGGGTAGCAAGCTAAGGTCTTGGATCGTTTCGACTATTAAGTCCTTGAATATCTGCCTTTCCATGTCCAAGACCGCCTCGGACATCTCCACCAGACAGTCTCCCCAACCATTAACAGTGTCTTAATTGATTTGAGAACTTCACAAATTAATGATCTCGACACCATTTTCACCTTCTTGGATTTTTTGGAACTCGATCGGTCCAAACATTCTCCACTGATGGCTTTGCGATAGATGAACCTGACCAGGAGAATGCTTTCCATTTTCCAAGGGGGGGAGTTGCCTGTTTCTATCAAGATTTGAAGAAACCATAACTGTTTACCTTTGAAATCGATGTTCCTTTTCATGATAGGAGAATTAAGGGGAAGGTGAGTCGTTTCGTCCCTGTAGAAGGACGGGTCAAGAACTGACACCGGACTCGGTTGTGATTCATCTCTGCTATGCTATTAAGCACCTTTCCAAAAGGCTCCTTCCAACATTAGATCTCTATAATGCCATTTCAAAGAACAACAATTATAATCAAGTCCTTAGTGATCTAACAGTGCTTTCAGAAATGGAAGATGACTCGTCCGTCCTCTGTAACAAAGGTTGTGATCTTCTCTTTCTGCTTAATCTCTGCCATTTCTCTCTCTCTCTCCAAACTGCTTCTCCTCGAGCTAAGCTTTGGTGATTGTACTGGAGAATTGGCTCTTCTACGAGTCTCAACATTAGTTAGAAAGCCTCACACTGTTTTCTCTTTGGGTTGGCGAGCCGGAATCTCTAGCTCTTTTCGTTCAGAAGCAGGTCGATTGGACTTTCACTGGAGAGATTGGGTCTCCGATCGACCAATGACATTACTAATTCTTCTCTGGGCTCTGGCTCGGTGAAACTGCGTTGGGATTTTAAGCTTGTGTAGCTTGAGGGTGAATGAGAAATGGAGAAAAAAATGAAATATTTGAGTTTTCCTTGGCAAAGGGACATTGTCCCATATCGGAGGAAGAAAAGGTTTTTGATGGGTATATATATAATTGCTCTTCTTCTAGCTCTTAAAGAGTTAAGAAAAAGACAAGTCTCGCGCCGTTGTCGTCGCTCGGCATCGGCTTCGGGTTAAAGATTGATTGATCAATCTTTTTGGACAAAATTCCTTTCAATTATTTAATTAATTAATTAAATAATTAACGAAAAATTCAATTGTTTCGGTCAGGCCCGTTTTCTTTCCCGGATTATTTTAAATACATTTTTCCCGCAATATTTCAAACACCCCTTTTCCAACAGCCATGACTGTTTCTGAAAGGTTGCAAACCTTTTCAGAAACAATGCGAGCAACTCTATAAATAGAGTTTGAATCCCAGAATCTTTCCTTACGAAATTTTCTGAGCTTCTTCTTCTTCTGCACAAAAATTCCAGTGTGTTATACAGCCTTCGAGTGGCTCGCTGTTCACCTGCATTTTGGTACCAACACTCCGGTGAGTTAAATCGTTCTATCCTGGGAGGATATATTCCAGCACCTCGGGTACTTGAGGGGAATAATTTCCTTAAGGATACACCGTGTATTCAGTGGGCTCGATTTATTCCTATACTGTTTTTCCAGAATTTATTTCGTTAAACAAGTATTACTAACTTTCTGTTTTGTTTTTTCAGAAAGTTTAATTGTTTATTACAGCAATACACAATTATAACAAACTGATCTTGAAGGTGGGGACTCATCAGATGAGTAAGTTTGGATCGTATACAAAAACCTCAATGTTTTACTTCAAGGTCTCAACATCTTTACAAGGCTCCTCAATTCCTCTCATCTTCAATCTCTTGTCTATGAAGAAGAATATCACAACAAAAACTCTCAAATTACACATGTTAGGGTATGCATCTTCAGAAATCACCACAACCAAAATCCAAGAACAGATCTCTAGAAAATCTAAGTACCAAGGGGAGCAAGGAGAGTAAATATTTAAAATTAATTCACTTCCTAGTCTATATCATCAATTTATTGAACACATCTCTAGCTAGCACCACCAGAAGTTATTTTTTTATTATTAAAAAAAAAACTGAGAGAGAAATGAGAATGAATAATAATCAGTAGGGAATAATTAAACTTCCCTTTCCCATACGAAGCCGCGACAAGGACCTCAATAACTTTGATTTGCTCCTGAATAATAAATCTCCTAATTCTTTCTCTCTATTTATGACTATAAAAGAGTGATCCATAGATAACGATCTCCTTAATCCTGGTATTAATCTTCTTTGTGATGATGATAATCTCCTCTCTTTATTAGGCACTACTAATGATACACAATGTCTAAGCATGCCATGTGATTGTAATTCTGATGCCGAAGAAGAAGAATTTTCATGATTAATTCCTGATGCGGACTGCAAAGACAGTATTGACTGGGGATCCAATAAATACATGACATGTGTCTCTTTTACCGGAGAACGACAAACTGGACAACTTGCATGCGCCACGAACCACTTGTCTATGCACGGCACGTGAAAAGCATGCCGGCAATTAGTCAACAAACGGACCATTTCTTCATCTTCCAATTCGCCTAAACAAACAGAACACTCATTTTGATCTACACGAAATAGGTCATTTTTGAGGATTGAACTATAAGCCAAAATAGGGATTTTTTCCAAGATTTTTTGGTCTACTCCCATGGCTAAATTATGGGTTTCAGAATTTGGCCTTAGAACAGTATCTATGATTTGTGGTATACTTCTCCTTAGGCAATATTTGGTTAAGATGAAATGGTATATTACTAATGCTAAAGCTGTGCAAAATATGCCTATCATCGAAACAAGTAAAGGGGCAAAAAAAGATCTTGAAGTTGAAACTGGAGGATTAATATCTCTTATGTTTTCCATATTAATTTGCCCAAATGAAAAAAAGACTATTTGGTTGTGATTTTGTGAGGGTTTTGCCTTTAAGAAGATGGTGTGAAGGTCTGCATTAGAATGAAACTTGAACTAGTTTATAGTAGTTTATAGTATGTTTGTTGAAGTATCCCTTTCTTCTAGCCATTTATATAATTAACGAAAAAATAATAATTAAGTTTATCTTTTTTTATTTTGTCCCCTCGTTTAAGAATTTTGTCACATACAAAGAAAAAAAAAATATGTGGAATGGTTCAACTTAACTGCAAGAATTGTTATTTATGTTTTACTTAATTTTTAATTTATATATAGTATTAAATATTGCTGCGTTTGACAAGGAAGAATTTTTTTTTTTTGGGAATTTGTGATGTCGAATATGTGATGATATTTTTATGTCTATAAGAATATATCACGAAGGATAAAATGAGAAATTTAAATGTTAATTTTCAAATATAAAAATGCACCGTTATATTTGTAACGTACAATCGAGATATGGTTGTTCGAAGAAAATGATTTTCATTGATTTTTGGACTATTAGTTATTAAAATAAATAGATAGTTCCAGAACTGCAGTCGTGCTAATATATTACCTCACCAATTAATTCTAGCCACAATTTTAGGTAATTTTTAGGTGGGGCTAGTTGTAAAATATTTCCAATAAAATGGGGATACTTTTAATTATATATTCTTGGAATGACGTTTCAGTAGGTACATAGAAGATGTGAAGGATCCAAATGTGTGGTGAGATTTGCAACAAGTGTGAAGTTAAATGGACGATAAAATAGAGAGAAAAGAATAAGGGTGCGACTATAGTGGAGGACTGATGTCTGCATGAGAATAAAAAGGCCGAGTTTGTTGTAAGAGTTATGGATTCCGTAGAAATTAATTAGAATATTATGTGATGTAACAAGAATTTCAGTTGGTGCTATCGACTCTTAATTTGTCATATTTGGATGTTTTTTTACTAGTTGGTCGGTTGATGCTGATGTACTGTGGCTGTATGTTTGTATACGTAGATAATTATATAGAGGCATAAATTAAGATAGTAGGTTAATAGGTAGTCATATATTTTTTTGTTCTATACCAGTAGTATTAGTATTACTTCTGTATTTTTTATTTTTTATTTTTTATTATTACCCGCTATTCTTTGTTTTGGTTATCTTATTTTTCTTATTGTTATTACTGCTTCTTTTTCCATCGCTTCTCCACTATCCTATGTTCTTTTCATGCGTGCTGGGATTATGCTTTCCTTGAGTCGAGGGTCTATTGAAAATAGTTTCTATACTTTTACAAGGTAGGGATAAGGTCTACGTACACACTAACCTCCCCAGATCCCACTTGTAAAATTTCACAGGTTATGTTGTTGTTGCATAAACTATTCATGGTTAGACATCTGCATCTCAAATTGTAGCTTATATTTGGCTCAAAGGAACTTATGTTTAGATTTAACAGTGTCAAACTCTAAGTTGGTGACCTACTTAAAATCCCTTTTCGGACTCTCTTTACTTTCCTGCTCCTACCATTCTTAGTTCTTGCTATAGGATTAAANAATTTTCTATGTCTGTTACCACCCAAGCGTGCTAGGTGCAAAGGGAAGTAATTTCAGTTCCTTGTTGGGAAGTTAGAGTAACTTCTTATCAACGGTAAAATCGTCCATTCAGCTATTATCTATTTCATTTGCTTTACTTTAATATTAGACTGCATATCTTTCAAGAACTTATAGTCTAGGAGTTAGCTTTTGCTTACGACTCATTCCGACTAGCAGACGCGTAACATACGCATCTTGTGTTTGATGAGTGCTGCAAGCCGCGAATGGTCATCTTTCAACCAATTAAGGTGAATCCGAAGGTTATAGACGAAAGCAATCAGCAAATATAAATTTCCCAGCCAGATTTGAGAAAAGAGAATAACAGAAAACTTGATGGATAGAGTATCCAATATCGTAAGAGAGTATAACAGCAAGCCTGAGAGAGAGAAAGAAGAACAATAGAAATCCCAAGCTGGGGATAGTGCTTTCAACGGTCCTCATACGAATAACCTCTCCTTTTCAGCATCACTCTAGGCCTCTGCTGTGGCAACAGTAAAAAAGCCATTTCCAGCATTACCAGTCTGTTTTACTCAAAGTCGTTTAAGGAGAAAATGATTACAACAAATTTACAGACAAGACGAAAAACATGCTGACAAGACCAAATAACTGAAAACAGTGAAATACAGATACTGTCAAAAAGAAGCAACATCTCAATAAATGTGATCTACAGAGCGCATCCACCTCCTGATATCTGCTAACCAATAAAGACAGCAGATTCTACTCGGCTTAGAGCAAGCCAGCTTTCTTCAGAGCATTCTCAAAATCTTCATCGCTCCTCCATGAGGCAATCTGCATAATGAACATGAAACAACCTTGAGTCTATTGTTTCCATGGCCACTCACATGCGGAATTATACCAAATTGAACCAAAACTGCAAAATAATTCATGCTGTTATGCACCGATTCCCAACCCAAAAGTTTATCTCTGAAGGTCTACCATATCTCAATATCTCATAAGCAACGTACATTTTTTCTCAAGGGTCACGTAGCATTTTAAGTCCAAACTCGCCATATGAAAGTTGTTACGACACAATGGGTCATCCAAGTCATGGTTGTTAACTTGCTACAAAGATGCAATCCAGCTATGTGATTGAATGATCCTAAAATCAAAATTCATGGAACCAAAACCTATGCTGCCTAACTTGATACCTTGAGGAAAAATTTTATCTGGCAAGGAAACACGGGGAAGAGGTGCTTTCATTTAGTCGAATGGAAGACTTTGGCAAAAAGCAAGAAGGAAGGAGGTCTTGGAATCAGGAATCTGAGACAACACAACAAAAGCTTAGTAATGAAATGACTATGGATATTCCCACCGGTGACACGGGCTCTTTGGAGACAAGTAATCAAGGAGAAATATGGGGTAGAGGGATGCTGGTGCACAAGAGAAATTTCTACTACTTATGGGGTAGGTGCCAGGAAATCTATTAGATCCTTATGACCTGGTTTGATCTGCAATGTCCGCATAAAAGTTGGTAATGGAGTCGAGGCTGTTTTTGGAATGATGACTGGATTGGAAATGGTCCTCTCAAAGAAATATTTCCAGATCTATTCAAATTAGTGCAACCTCCTCAAGCAACAGTGGCAGAGACTTAGAGCCAGGGTGAAATTTTACCTTCAGAAAACTTCTACGATTGGGAGGTTGCTAGCGTGACTGAACTTCTAA